GACTGCTTGTGATCAAATGTTAAATTCGATAAACCTAACCATGGACTCGCGTTACTATCAGGTTTAATTCTACCCTGATTTGCACTGAGAAGTTCCAAGATATGTTGCAATTTTTAAAGAAAATTATCACTAAAACAGACAAAAAACCACTTATAACTAAGAATGTCCATAAAATAATCAATTATATTTTGAATCTCCTCTATAAAAGACAAACAAAGAAACATAACCAAACTTCTACGTGGTATTGATTTAATACATTAATTAGATAATATGAGCAAATACAAAATTTAATAAACAATCTTTTCTTTACCTCTTTTTCTTGATTGGCAAATTCTTGTCCAAAGCTGACCATTCAATTTGCATATGCATTAATTGTTGAATATAGTCATAAACAAGGTCTGGTAAGCATATAAATCATGTGAATGTTATAAGTAAAAAATAAATAAGCAAAAATTAATCCAACAATTACCCCTTTATGGTAATTTTTCTCTCTCAATTTCCGGACCCCTTTAGAAGATTTTTAATAAAATTTAGAAAGGACGTTAGTCGCTTGATTTTAGTGATGCGGCTGCAACCACGGCTAGTATTGATAGTACTAGGCCAACCCCTATACGTCGTAGTGGAGTGAGGCCGCGTGGGTTCTTTGTAACCCTTCTGCAAATCGGAACAATTATGCGATCGTAAATTGGGACGGTTAGGAGAATGCTCCCAACAAAGAAGACTGTTAGTCGAGCAGCCGGAATTTGGAACGATTTTCCGATATGTCGATCCATGGTGGTGGCCTGCGACACTGAGAATGTGGCATAAAAACCCTTAAATTCGAAATAATAATAATAATAATAATAATAATAATAATAATAATAAATCCCTGCTTCACACAAACCCTTGAATACGTAGGACAAAATCAATTTAGGCAATAAATAAATAAATAAATTCAAAACAATAAAAAAAGGAAAAAAGAAAAGAAAGAAAGAAGTTTCAAACCGGCAACGCACAGAGGAGATGAAGGAGAAACTCAGAACCGCACTTCAACAATTAAATAGCCGTTGCAATTGAAAACGACATCGTTTAATGATTAAACAGGATAAACAAAATCAAATAAAATAAAAGAGCGGTAGCCCGCCAACCTTACAAATTTTGAATCTTACCGACTTAGAACACTACGGTAAATTCTCTTCATTATATACACAAATTTCACATAATCAGAAAGCCCAAATTCCCTCAATTTCTCTCCAACGGCACAATTCTGAAATCATCTTCCTTTTCTTTATAGTATATCAATTTGGTTAGAGAAGACATTTTTCTTGATTCCTCTTTCCTGTTGAAGAGCATTCGATTGAGTTCTTGATATTTCACTTTGTGAATTGTGATCTCTTCTTTTAAAGTGGAGAAGACATTTTTCTGATTACGAGAAATTGCAGGGAATCATGGAGAATGCGCAAAGAAACAAGAATCAGAAAACTGCTTTGAAGGCCATCGAAAAGAGTTTCTTGAAGAGGAAAGATTGCATCAAGAAAAAGACCATGGAACTCTCTATTCTCTGTGATGTCAAGGTCTGTGCCATTATTATTGGGCCAGACGGAACAATCGAAACATGGCCAGAAAGTCGTAATGATGTGCAGCGGGTGATTGAAATGTACGTAAATTGCCCAGTTGACAAGAAGAAAAGGCAACGGCCCCAAGAACTTGATCATGGTGGGGATGATCGCAGTAACAAAAAATGGAAAGTATGTGTTGTCTCTGAGGGAGTGAAGAAGACAGGGTTTACAGATAAAGATTTGCTTAGAAGGATTGATGCCAAGTTATGTCATGTAAGGAAGAAAATCCAGTTGATTAAGTCCAATGATCAAAATACTATGGACTGTACCATTGATAATCCGATAGAGACATCGTTCTTCCAAGAAACTGCCTCTTTTGATCAGAGTCAGATTATAGATAACTCCCATTGGGTCGACACACAATTGGAAGAAATACACGAATTTGACCAGATTGATCTATTTGATTGGTCCGATCTTTTTAATACAGGATCTGAAAATCCACATCTAATGGTAGTCGGTNGAGACTGATCTATTTGATTGGTCGGATCTTTTTAATTCAGGGTTTGAAATTCCACATCTAATGGTAGTCGGTAAAGAGGATATCCATGAACTTTTGACAACTGCACCAACTCCAAAATCGCTCGACCCCTGCAGTGGATTAACCCATACATATCAAGATTTTCAGTCGTCTACACTAGGAGTGAACTCATTAACCCCTGGTAATGAATTGATGGATACATTTTCTACGGCATATAATGAAGAACTCAACCAGTTTACACCGACTGATCTGAACTCGTTTAGTCCTACTAGTGAATGAGTGAACTCCTTTACTTTGCTAGGTAATCTGGACTTTCAGCGTTTTACACCAAATTGGAACTGGTTCGAAGACGGTGCAATTTTGGATGACCTGACTTCATGGCACGCTATTGCTAATAATTTGTGGTCTTAGTATTTTCTTGTTTGATAGTAATATTTTTCAGTTCTTTGATAGTGAAGTCCATTTCTATTTGAGATCATTGTAATTTGCATCCTTTCGATGCATGAGTTAGGATATCAAGTATATAACTTTTTCAATTCTGAAGCTTTCTTTTGCTTTTGATATTTTTGGGTACTGCTTTTTAATTCAGTTGTTTCAGTTATAT